GTGTGTGTGTGTGTGTGTGTGTGTGTGTGTGTGTGTGTGTGTGTGTGAGAGAGAGAGAGAGAGAGAGAGAGAGAGAGAGAGAGAGAGACAGAGAGAGAGAGAGAGAGAGAGAGAGAGAGAGAGAGAGAGGCACCCACGTGAGCAACTGAGTGGAGTCGTGTGGTCTCCTGGCCCACAGTCCACGGCGCCACTGTAGAAAAGCCCAGAGCGTTTCATTTGCATCCTGCGTGATGCGACTGAGATCCTGCTCGGTCCACACTTCCAGCCCCGTCAACAACAACTGAATATCCAGAGTCCTGAGAATCTGAGGAAGAGACCCGCTGAGGCCAGAAACCAGGCACCCACCGTGCAGGGCCAGAGCTTTTCAATTGCCACGCTCCCAGCCTTCAGTGTCCTAACCGCCCAACCTGGTCCACGCAATTGGCAACTTCCAGGAGGCGCTGTCTTGTGTGGTTCAAGTTCTGATGCTGAAGCAAGAACTGAGAAGGCAGAAATCCCTGGGTCATAAGGGACCTTAGTAAGCTCCAGCCCAGCCCAGTCAGACCTCTTAGGTCTCTCCTCACCAGGGTGTGGTCAGCCACTATGTACAGTTCCAGGTACCTAGGACTCCTGCGGGCTTCTCGCTTCACCTGTGAGAAGCAAATGGTGAGGGGCAGGCTACATGACTGAATCCTAGCCACACACCATAATTCCCGAGGGCGGGAGAGGGGACAGTTAAACTTCTGCTCAGACTTGATTCTTCAGCCTCCGAATTAAAACAGGGAGACCCCGTCCAGGGCCTTCATTACTGTCTCCTCTGCTTTGAAGGACCAGTTTCACTCTAGTCTGTGCCTCTTACCCGGCTCTGGGGGACATGAAGAAGATTGGCCATTCCTGCTTTGTACTGGGAGTTCTTGTCTCTCAGGTCCCCTCTCCAGGGGAACAACTGCTCCATCCGGAAGATCTTGTGGGTTGGGAAGTCCTTGATGTCTCCAGGAATCCAAGGGTGCAGATAATAGCTGATTTTGCTGCTGAGCACAATAAGGCCACTAGAGTGCAGGGGAGGGCAGGGATATGTGAAAAAAAAAAAAAAAAAAAAAACAACTCTCACCTCAGCAGCAGCCCCGGGGCGCTCTCCCCCAACTCCTTACCTCATCCCAGAGCAGGTGCTGAGAACTACCCAGGATTCCTGGAAGCCTCTCACACGCCCATGATAGTGGCAATGATCCTAGGGAGGAGGAAGCTCATACCCAAATCTCAGTAGGGGCTCAAGTTGGAGGGACAAGGAGGAAGTGGGACCTGAAGCAGACTACAACCTCCTTAGGCAAGCAAAACAGGATAGGGTAGCAGTTTAGGATGCACCTCTCCCACCATTCTCAGAGCCCAGGAAAGTGTCTCACCGTGTGGTTGGGGGACAGCACTATGGGCTGCCCATCAGGACCATAGTGGGTTTCTGTGTATCCTGGGGCCAGGAGCCTGCTGGAAAGCAGGAGTTTTAGGAGTCCCTGAATTTAGACCTGCCTCCTTCCTGCCCCTTCCTTCCAGCTCTCCTTCCTGAGAGCTAGCTGAGCTGCTTTGAATGAGGTGAGCAGTGTGAAGGAAAGGCTGTGCACAGTGCCTCAAAGAGAAAACCTCAGGCTAAAAGAAGACAAAGGTCTGGAGCGAGCCCTGAGGTGCGTTAAACAAGGGAATGGGCGTATGGGAAGCACCCAGAGGAACAGGCTGGGGACCTTTGGTGCTGTGGAGCCTACTGCAGGCAGGTGAAGGGGAGGAGTCAGGAGATACCACCTCAAAGATGCCACGTGGGGCCAGGGTGCTCCTGCCTTTGCTAACAGACCCTAGGCCTTTCAGTTCTCCTCAGATTGCTAGATCCCATGTCTCCATCTGTCCCTCAGTGACACTTAATTCCAACTTCCACAGAAAACAAAGTCCCACCTGCCTGTAGCTGCTTCTGCTCAGCCTGCCTGAGCAAGGCTCCCTTTGCCTGGAGCTAGACTCTACTCAGTAATGACTCTATTCTCAGTCTCCTTCCCTGCCCCCACCAAGAACATAACAACCATAAATGAATAGCTGCCTCTGCTTCTCTTCCTCCTTCCTTTCTTTCTTCCTTTCTTTCTTTCTCTCTTTCTTTCTTCTTTCTCTCTTCTTTCTTTCCTTCCTTCCTCTTCCTCCTCCTCCTTTTCTCCTTCTCCTTCTCTTTCCCCCTTCCTCATTCTTTTACATTTTGAGACAGGATTTTGCTAAGTTGCCTAGGCTGGTCTTGAACTCACTCTATATAACCTAGGCAAGCCCCAACTTGACTCTGTTTCTCATGCCCAGCCTCAGGCCTGCACCACCATGCCTGACTTCAGTTGCTCTCCCTTACAGAAAATCTTGACTCCAACTTCACCTTGTCCTCCAGATCATCCACCAAAATCCCAGGCTGTTGTACGGCCAGATGTCCTTATACCCATTTCAACTCTGCTTCTTTGCTGGCTGTGCTCATACATGCTAACGTTCGATGTGTGCACAAACGTACAAGACTGTTTAGCAGGTAGGGATGTGGCACTCTTAAGAACTGTGGTTTGGATTGGTGTTTACAGTTTGTTCCCAGTCTGTCTGATTCCATGGGGGAGAATAAAGTGAATGAGTGCCTTCTGCAGTGTCAGCAAGAAAGCAGACATGGAGTGAATGATGCGGTTGGCAATGGAGTCTACAGGTTCCATCTTTTTCACCCTCTCCTTTACCACCTCACATTCTTTGACTCTTCCAGCCAAGATATTTAGTACTAAGACGCCTTCTTCGATCCGGCCCCACTGGGACTCCCCCAGTTCTTTCTTCACTGTTCCCTTCCACACAGATGGAGACATTCCAGGTAGACCAGATGAACTGTCATCATCAACATCAATGCCCACTGGATGGAGCTCAGGCTTCTCCAGGAGGGAGCCACTTGCTGCTCCAGGGTGTGAGATGGGAAGCAGCCACATCCTCACCTACAGCTGGGTTCAGTCCACTGTAGCCTCAACACATTAGCCACTCCCCCTGTCACTCATGCTTCCCACCCAGCCTCCCCACAGAAAGCACTGATCCTTTCCCGAGAGGATCTGTGTCTGGGCTTCAGCAAACCCCAGGCCGGTACTCACTGGTTCTTCTCCAATTCAAGCAGGAGATCCTGACCTTCAGCCTTTAAAGCCACCAGCACCAAGTCAGGCTTCACCATCTGACAGAGAGGGAATGCAGTGACACATTAGGCCTCCAGGCCACCTGCCTGCCAGGGAACCAGCAGGATGTGGAGCGACCTAGTGATAAGCTCATAGGAACAGCTGGCTCCTGCATCGCAGGGAGCAAACAGGTGTGGGAGCTGTAACTCAGAGATGCTCCCAGTGCTTGTGTTTGTGACAATGGACGCTTAAAGATGCATGAACAGCCATCTATGGACATAGCACTTGCTAAGTTGCCTAGGTTGCTCTGTCTGCTATGGACATATGGACATATGCTGTGTCCATAAGCAGGAGCCCCATGGAAAGGCAGGGAGAACAGAGGGCAGTGGGCACTAAGGGTGATGGAAGTCGTTGGGCAGGGTACGGCTTTGGCCATCTCATGAACTGCTTATGGTGTCGTTTCTGTTTTGTTTGTATGCTTGCTTGCTTGCTTGCTTGCTTGCTTGCTGTGGGTGCTGCAGATTGAACCCAGGGCCTTGCATGTGCCAAACAAGAGCCAAACCATAGACCTTGTTACATAGCTCTCCATCTTGCTGCCTCCCTTCATTGCAGATAGAACTCAGACTTTTTCCTCCACCTCCAATTCCAGCAAACTGCCTGGTCCTCTGAAATTCTTCCAGCTGACCTCATAACTGAACTCATGAAGTAAACAGGAACCCCAACTTTGGCTCCCTGAAAAGTGTAGACTCTCTCAGCTCAATGTCAGAAGGGCTGGCCTTGGCTCTCTAGCCATCTCTCTCCTCTCACTGACTTTGCCTCTCTCGGGCTGTCCACTCAGCCTGGCTAGAAGCCAGAACTGGAACTAGCCCAAGAGATTCCAGGGGAGGCTGCTATATTTTATTTTTTGATGTTTTCCCCATCTACGGTGACTTTCCCTTTTTATCCCAAAATGCACTGGGCTGGGACCCTGGCCAAGAATCTTGCAGGGGCCCTTCCCCAGCAGGTGTAGAGTAGATGGCCCTCACTTCCCCAGCCACAGGCTCTATGAGGGCCCAAACATGAGCTTATATGGTTGGAATGCCTCTTCCTTTACAGGAAAATGTCTGCTCTGGGAGAAAGGCAGTGGCCCCAGTAAAGGTCCCTTCCCTCTGCAGCCCTTGCTGCTTTTACTTCTGCTCCAGGGTCCCCCCTTCCCCTCTGTGCCCCATCCCCATCCTGCAGTATGATCCTGTTGGTGAAATATACACACCCCGCTGAAGCTCCTCCTGTCCTGTCCTCACAGGCTTCCTAACGCAGAGCAGAGCCCCTCTGGGATCCTCTCACAGACCAAGCCAGGCAAGGAGAGAGGTCACAATCAGGGGAACCCGTATGTGTCCACATGTCATCTTTGCTTGGCTAGTTGAGAGAAATCCTAGAGGTCTGAGGAACCCCAGTGAAGGCCCTGACTTGGAAGGTTTAGATTTCTGGGAACCCATAGTCACTGTGGCAACACTCGCAGGTTTGGACATTGGGGCTACCCTCTATCTGGAGGTACAAAATCAAACTCTCTCCAGCTTGAGAAGTTATAGGAAAGAAGGATAAGGCAGCTCACAGTCTGAAGCCCTTAGATCTTAGGGGGCCTCTGGCTTCTAGGCCCAATGATGTATTCAAGCATGAGTGATTTTACAAGCTCTGTGGGACTCAGTTTGCCTCTCTGTAAAATAGGCATACCAGTGCCAGGCTCCTCATATGCAGCCCAGCTCTAATGGCACACATAGCTCTTCTTGGAGAATACAATGAACAGGAGTCAGGAGGAGGCAGGGTGGGGCTCCGGAGACACAAACTGGAGTGAGGATACATCCGGGGACACGAGGAGAATGAACCACGGCTTTCTTGTCCCAGGCAGCTTCCAGCCATGGAAACTGAGGTTACAGGACAGTGGCGTGTCCAGAGTCACATGTTCCCCATAAACGTGACCAAGGGGGATATTTTTGTGTCCTTCCTTTGAAAGCTCTTGACTTGAAGCCCACCAGGGCTAGATAACAAGGCCCTGCCTCAATCATAACAAGACAGAATAGAATGGAATGTGCGCGCACACACACACGCGCGCACACACAAACACACACAACACACACACCACACACCACACACAGCTCCTGAAAGGCTGTAGTCCCCAAACTTTGAACTCATCTTTGCCTAGTTGAGTGGGGATAGCCTGGATGTTTCCCCATGGAGAAGAGGGTTAGGGCCAGGAATAGAATGGGGTGGGAGGGAGGAAGCCCAAAATGACTTCCATGTGTGCAAGCTCACGCCATCTAGAAGTCTCCTTGTCCCACCCACCCGGCAGGGAGTGGCTTAACAGTACAGTGATTTGGTTCAGAGAACCCCAGAAAAATTGTCATGCTGCATTTGAGGGGAAGAACAAAGAGACTGAGACCCAGGGCCCCGAATAAGGACAGGATAATGGATGCTTACTGGCTCCTCCAGGGTGACCTTGAGCCAGAGTCCGCCCTCCAGGATCCAGTGGGGAGTGACTAGCTCTCCACGGGCCTTTCCTGGGATGAAAACAGAGAATAGTGTTAGAATAAGCAGTTAGGAGCAGGAAGCCACCGGGAAAGGAGAGGTCCTGAAAGCTGGACTCCATTTGTAGCATTCCCAGGGTTTGGTATTCACAGGGCATCCCTCGAAGGGAGAAGCAACCAGGGAGGTGGCAAAAGAGAAACTGAGGCACCAGGAAACCTCCTCATTGGAGAATTTGAGAGCAGCCAGAGCTTGGGGAGCTAGTTTGAGGTTAGAGGTCCCGGGTAGAAGCCCAGATCCCAGTGCAGAGGGACTGGGAAGAAGGAGGCAGCCTTGGGTATTTTTAGACTGGGCAGTAGATGCCTTTAGTGTGAGGGATGTGTAACCAGAGGCCTCCTCTGCCATCTGAGTAAGACAGCTGCCAGATGCCTCTCCCAGAGCTCCTGGCTCCCATTAGGGGTGATGCTGGTGGCAGGACTCTGGGGGACCTCGTCCAGAACCCCTCCTCTTTTTGTCAAGGTGAAGGGAGGACTTGGGGTTCAGAGGCTCAGTGATCCTGGGCCAGGCATGTCCAAGGGGGCTCCAGGAGGAGTATCAGAGCCAAGCATTACTCAGAGGGTGTTGGAATGTTCTTCAGGAATGTTCCTACCTCCCCTCTCCTATCTGGTCCCAGAAACACTCACAGGACCTATCCTGCAGGAGCCAGGCTCCAGCAGACAGAGACAGCAGCAAGCCCACTTACCCCTCTAGCATTACATTCTCCAGTTGGCCCAGGCTACAGAAAAACAAAAAACCAAAGAAACCCCAGCCACCCCCAGCTCTGGCCCTGCCTGTGCTGAGAACTCTCACTGGCTCCTGAGCCATCCTAGCTCCATGTTCCTCTTCCACCTCCTCTCTAGATCCCAGACATCAAAACCCTGGGATAGGAGCTGGAGAGGTGGATTGGTGGTTAAGAGCACTTGCTGTTCTTCCAGGGAACCAGGTTCAGTTCTCAGCACCCACATGGTGCCTCACAACCATCTGTAACTCAAGCTTCAGGGCATCTGTCTCCCTGTTCTGGCCCCCAGGTTTCCTGGAACCTCCACTGTACACAGATGTACATGCAGGCAAAATGCTCAGACACATTTTTAAAATCAGAAATAGCAGCAGCTCCAGGAACCTCGTCCTTAAAATCACATGTGCTTCTTAATTAATGAGCCATCATGCCACTGGGGATGAGGGTGTGGCTTTGGAAGGGAGATTGAAGAGAGAAAAGGGAGAGGAGGAGAAGGAAGGACAGAGAAGCCTTCCTGGAGGTAAAAAAAAAATCTTTCAGCCAAGAGAAGGCTTAACTGGCTATGAAGAACCAAGTCTTGCTGGCCTCAGGTCACCAAGGGTGCAGGATACGGATTTAGGTGTGAGTGTTCTCTGTGCAGTCCTGCAAGGCCACCTTCAGGAAGGAGGCAAGGATGGAGCTAGGAGTCTGGGTAGACTAAAGTGGAAACTGAGGAAGCCAGTCTGCATTGGGGAACACAGAGGCTCTCTCTCCCCACCATCAACTCTCCTCTGGCTAAAAGCTGTCATTTAGCCCCCTCAGAACCCTTACAAAGCAGCAGTCCATTGGTATGGAGTGGCTTCCAGGCTGCCCAACAATCCAGCCCTCAGCCCTTGCTGCCTCCTCCTCAGTCGTCTCTGGCCAGCCAGGTGCTTGCTGTGTGGAGTTTGGAGACTCACCCTACAGGCTTGGAGATGCTAAGAGCCCTGTCATACCAGAGAGGTTACAGTAGGAAGAGAAAGTGGCAGTCCCAGGCACAGCTATGCAGATATCCCTGTTCGAAGAACTGCCACATAAAACACCTGTATAAACACCGTACACATTGCCCAGACCCAAGATAAAGGGAGGATGAGCCGAATGGGACAGCTAGGCCTGTGGGCAGACCAGGACTCCAAGGACCCCAGTGCACCATTCCTTCCCGGAGGAGGAAGACACTCTGGCCTGGCAGTCTGGAGGTGCGGATGCTTTGGAGCAGAGCTAAGAGCTGGGCAGTACTGAAGAGAGAGTAGAGTTGCCTCTTTGCTTTGCTAAGTGTTGGCAAGCCTGCTACAGGGCCACCCCAGGGGCATGTTCCCTTCCCACGTTGTGTCCTGGCCAGGTAGCCCAAGGTCGGGAACTCTGTGTTTCAGTAGTTGCACTGGAACCCATGACCACCACCGCTTCACCCTGCCCTAGACGCGCCCCTGGCCCGCATCCTCACCTGGAAACATCCGAGCGCTCCGCAGCAGACACGCGGGAAGCAACAGCGGCAGCAATAGCAGCACGGGAGACCCCCCAGATCTCCGGCACCCCGAGCCCATGGCTAGGAGTGCCTGTGCCTCTCACTCTTGCTGTGCTGTTGGCTCCACCCCGGCCGGAGGGGGCCCGCCTCCTCCCGCCTTCAGCGGGCCTCGCGCCACCTCGCAGGAGCCTGTCCCTACCCTGGCCTGCAAGATAGGAGTCCGTGCTGCGGGAGCCAGGACTACCCTTCCTGGCGTCATTGGCAACAATCCTACCCACGCTGGCAAAGGGAGGCGAGAGCGGGAAGTCCGGGAAGGTTCTTAGAGAGCCTCTCTGGTGCTGAACAGAGGTGTTGGCTAAGTGATTCCCCGCAGCCGATCCGGTCTGCCCAGGGCACATCTCTGGTCCTGGTCTCCCTAGTGACATGTGGACCTGCCTTTCTACCTGCTCTGAGCTAGGATTCCTCCCAGGATCTGTTTACCTGCACCTAGTGTCCCTTCACAGTGAAGCTGTCCCACTGCGGCTCAGCTGCATCTGGGTACGTAGGGACTGTAGGGACGTTGCTGAAGTCTCTGGTTTCTGGCAGTGGTGAGTGCAGGGCAGAGGGACAGCGATGGTCAGGACAGAATTGTACTATACCACAGACCCCCAGGCATGAGGGATCCTTCCCCAAATTTTAGGAACATTGCTTTCGTGTTGAAAGATCACTCCGTATGCTTGGCAGGATTTTGGTTAGCAAGAGATTTAACTTTGAAATAAGCTGTTTAATAATTTCGTTGTGAGAGTTTGGAATGTAAAAGTTCCAAGGACAGAAAAAAAAACAAAATTTATACAATTCAAACATCAGGCAATTGGATCGAGACAGGACACTCAAGATGGCCAGCCTGGTCAATATAGAGAGAGGTCTCATGGAAGAGAGAGGGAAGGGAAGGGGAGAGAGGGGAGGACAACCCCACCTCCCTGCGCGTGCGCGCGCGCACACACATACACAGAGAGAGAGAGGGAGAGGGAGAGGGAGAGGGAGAGAGAGAGAGAGAGAGAGACTGAAAGATAACCATAGTTCATGTCTGTAATTCCAGCACTTCAGAGGTAGCTGGAGTTACACAGCAAGACCCTATCTCAAAAAACAAGCCCAAGCTGGGCAGTGGTGGCGCACACCTTTAAGCCCAGTGCTTGGGAGGCAGAGGCAAGAGGATCTCTGAGTTTGAGGCCAGGCTGGTGGACAGAGTGAGTTCCAGGACAGCCAGGGCTGCATAGAGAAACCAATCAAACAAAAAGAATCAAAAACCACCACCACAACAACAAAACAAACAAATGAACAAAGGAAAAAGTTTAAAATGCTTAGGAAAATCTTTAGTCTCCATCCTTTCGATCCTCGTTTCCCACAGGAAGCCCCTATTACCAATTTCTTACGTTAGCTGCTGTTTTAGATACAGCTTTTTAAAAATATAACAACATACTCATTCATACATAGCTCATTTTTCTAGCGAGTGGTTGGTCATTCTTTTAACAGTGTAAAGGACTCTGTGTTTAAAAGAGATTAGCTTTGGCTGGCGTACGGGCTGTATTTTCCCATTTGTGAGTTTTACCCAGCCTGTCATCACCTCCGCCTTTAGTTCATTTATTTCTGTTGCTGAGTAGTTTCCAACTGTATCACTATGATCACATTTTTTTTCATGGATTCTCCTGCCACTGGACAGCCCCTGGGTCTGAATTTGAGACAGTTAAAAGGGTGTTCCACTCTGCTTCCTGGGTACCGGGATTAAAGGCATGCACCTCCACGCCCAATATGTTCTGTTTTTAAGAGATGAGGTTTTGTTGTGTTGCCCAGGCTGATCTCAGTCTCCTGGGCTCAAGGTATCTTTCCATATCGGTACACAACACAAGACGCAGGTAAAGTGGCAGAATTTTTTTAAAAATAAACTTTCTTTCCAAAATATATATTCAGAAAAGTGAGCAGTTCATCAGATTTTCACAAAGTGAGCCTGTCCTCCTCAGCATTACCCGAAGCGCCACTGTGGCTCCTGCCAATCCCTGTTGCCCGCCAATAGCTCTCCCATTCCTAAACTATGTCTGTCCTTGGTCTGCACTGTGAACTTGTTTGGTTTGCGAATCACCTAGGAGATACACCTCTGGGCACATCAGGTCAGTGAGGGTGTTTCCAGAGAGTTTTAACCGAGACTAGAAGACCCTCTCCAAATGTGGGCTGCAATACCTGATGGTCTGGAATCCTAGACTGGGTAGGAAGAGGAAAGGTAAGAAGCAAATGGTGCCTCCACCTCTCTGTCTGCTTCCTCACCGACACCATGTGACCAGCTGCCGCCCACTCCTGCCCCCTCAGCTAGAGACACTTTTGCTGCCACCTTCCGGATCAGGGTGAGACTGTGCCTACTAACTGTGACCCAAAATAAATGTTTCCTTCCTTAAGTTGCCTTTGTCAGATCCTTTGATTCAGCAGTAGGAAACGTAACTGCCACAGGCAGCTGTGGTCCTCGCTGCCAGCCCCTCCCACTGAGCATCTGAGAACCATACTCGGCTGCAGGCACAGCTTCTCATAGCTGTGTGGACATGGTACAGTCTACTCAGCCATCCCCCTGCTGCAGAGCATTTGTTTTCAGTTCCTGGCAATGATGAGTAACACTGTCATGAACATTCTAGTACAGATCTCAGGGTGACACACGCCCTCATTTTTCCTGAGTATATGCCCAAGAATGTTAGGGTCAAGAGAAGAATATTTTACCCTTAAGTGACACTGGCCAATCATCTCACAAAGTTCTTGTGTTTAAAGTATGATGCCATTTTTTATAAAGAACACGGGGAAAAAGACAAATCTATGGTATTGTATTTGATTTTTAGATTAGCTTGATTATTCAAGCTAGCAAGTACACTGGGCAGGGGTTGGGAGCAGGGTACTCCAGACTGCTGGCATTTTTGCTTTTTGATCTGATATGTATTACACAAAGAGCCGTTGTGCTAATACACTTACCATGTGTGTATATTGTGCTTGAATTACAGCTACGTAATTATTTCTGAGGGGCTTTAGACCACTGGAGATTGGCCCCAACAACTCCCTCAAGCAATCTCCAACAACTCTCTTGGAAGTGTTTGACAGCAAAGATTCAAGTCACATGTCCCCAAACCCTCAGCAGCCACCACCCTTTGGGTGTGGCTTTTGCTCTTGGTCTTCCTGGAACATCTTGCCTCTGGTAAAGCTGGTTTTCTGTGCTTCTACTCAACAACAATGTACAAGAACCAAGTGCCACCTGTCCTATGCCAAACCTGTGCTGGTCCCTGTGAGTGAGCAGCCCATCCTGTGAGGGGGGCATCATGTGAGGAGCTGTGAGGAGCAGGAGGGACCCAGATGACGTCAGCAGACAGTATGAGGCAAACATTGTGTGATTTATACTCCCTGGCCACGTGCCCACAGATGGTGTCTGAGATGCTAGTATTTAATATTTGAATTCTCTACATTCTAGCCTAGACATTTTGATTGCAAGAAGAAAATTGACTCCAGTTGTACTGTACCCTGGAATGAAGTTTATTGAAGGAAATTGCTGGACGGGCTCCCAGAGAAAATACGATATTCAGGCACAAAAAGAAATGGGGATTGAGAATCAGAAGTTCAAGGTCATCCATTCCCAGCTACATAATGAGATTGAAGTCAGCTTGAGCTACATGGGGCCTTGTCTAGGAGGAGATAGGGAAGAGATGGGAAGGGATAGAAAGGGAAGGGAGAGGAGGGGAGGGGAAGGGAGGGGAGAGGAGGGGAGAGGAGGGGAG